AAATCTAATTACTTTAATGTAATGCAAATGTAATAGTCTCTTTTTTTATCGAGGGAAAAATGCTATAAAAACATTTGCGTCATAAATCTGCTTCACCCACTTCGGTCACCAATCAATATTGACCCCCTAAAAAGGCTATATATACAAGTTTTTCCAAAAATACACAAGTTGTAAAACTGATGGATGAACCTTAAAAAGTTTATAAAGAATTGTAAAGACTGTAAAACTTTGAATAACTTAAGTATAAACTTTGGACTTTTGCTTTTCTGTAGTGAAAATTTTGAAACTTTGATTTACCCTGGTAAAACTTTTGAACTTTAACTAATATAATAGTAAAAACATGCCATCTTTGATTTATTATAGTTAAAACTTTGGAACATTATTAAACGGGTCAGTTCTTTTGTTGGCATATTTAGACACATTTTCTGCTGAAAAATATGGCGTTTTGAAAACCTTGGATTTTGCAATATCCATAACAGCCTGAATTCTAGATCTTGTTTTGAGGAATAAAACAATGGTGATTAACTGACTTTTTAAGCAGACTATTTAAAAATTCAAAGGGAAAGAGTAATGTTTGCTGCGATTGAGACCTAGCTGTTGATTTACATAAAAGAGTAATGTAGCAAAATGCTAGTAGACATCGTGTATTAAAGGATTATTGTAACATTATGTCCATGAATAGACTTACGTCTCTGTGTATGGTTAAAAAGCACATGTACATTGTTATTATTTGTTACAAATGGTTCATAATATCAGTTTAAGAAGTTTTATTCTCCATTTTGTAGGGAACAAAAGTGATTTTTATATCGTTATTATCTAGCTTTTTCATTTATATAAATTTTAGGAACTGGGCCATAGGGACGAAACAAAAAAAAGTTCCAGCCCATTTACATTGTTATACTTATGACTGAAAAGATATCATCAACATTATTGACATTGTCATTATATCCATAGGTAAAGACAAGGCCTTGCTTAGTTTTTGAAATTCAGTACTCTTCTGGTTGTCTATGGAAAAGTTATGGACTGTTTGTATAATGGCAAATCTTTTCTAGAATTCTAACCTTCATTGGCCGAATAGAACAGATAAACTGAAATGCTTGTGTAGAATGTTAAGCTGCTGACCCCGATTTTTTATATGAGATATATGTGCCGATATTCTTTTAGTATTGGTTTCACCAACATAAATAATTCCACACAAATAGCATTCTTTACCGTAGACAACATTAGAAGATTAACTGTTTAGATTTTCCCAAGTTTTGGTAGAGAAGTTAAGTCCAGTAAGATTATTAGTAAAACTTTAAAAATATACAAGGTACTTAAGCAAGTATGACATAACAATTCATTCATCTATTTGTAAAATATTTCAGATTATTTGGATAATTTGGGAAACAGCATAAACATTATTCCCTTTCAATTCAATCACCTGCAGCTAAAAAAATATTAACAAAAATTGTGTTGTTATTGTTGTAGTTTCAGAAGTATCGATATGCTAGAATATATCTTTAAAGCTGTACTCGTAAATGGGCATAGTCCGCCATATTTCTCGTTCTCCAACGCTCTCCCTTCAACCCGTATATAAGAAGCAGATCGCTAATCAGATCCGACGAGTTAAGACGTACATCTTACATCGCGTGCTATTCAATCTCGATGAAATTATCAAATTTTACGGATTTTTTCCTAAACAGAACAAAAGTATCATGAAAAATACATTATTTACAAACTGAAAATGCACATAAAAGCAAAAAATAAACGCAAAAAATCTAAGACCACGAAGGGAGTACTACAAGTCGGCCACAAGTTTCGAGTGTGCAATTGGGTGTAACGAAATCGAAGGGTTTATATTCCCGTCTGACAGTGCCTATTTATTAGAACTAGAATTTTCATTTAGTTGTAAATTGAATTACGCGATACAGTAAGGTGCACAATGGAAATATCAGGGTTCTCCACAAGGGGTTTTACCATGGAGGCCCGCAATGGTTAAATTTATGTGCGCCATGGTTAAGCGAGCTGCGCCATGGTTAAAACCGGCAGCCGCCATGATTAAATTTTATTGCATTTCAGTCCTGACACCTACTTTTTTAATGACTTGAGTAGTTAATTGTATTTATACTACGACTACCATCCACCTCCCATGCCTCGAAGGAAAGCGGTCTGTGCTAAATAAACACGTCATTAATCAGCGACTATGCTGTTAAGCGTGACAATCAATGAGAATCAATTAACTGATCAGATGAGTTTATTATCCTGTACACATGTAAATAATTTTGGGGAACTTCAACAACACGTTCACTACATGATTAGATATATAGGCCCCAACGGGTTTATTAAAGATGACAATTGAGAGAATGATAATTGTCATACATGCTGAGTCAGAAAAAAATACTCTGTAAAAATTTCATATTCCTCTGTAGTTTATCAATTTCACATGCGCTGTTGTTTAAGCTTTAACTTTATTATCTTTTTGATAGAATGTACATAGGGACTAGACTACGTCTCAATCACCGTCTTAATTAAGCATTTCAATCGCCGGTATAGTTGTACATTTAGAGTTACTTCCCATTGTTATGAAATGTCGCGTGGAGCTATTTTTAGCTCTGATCACGTGGAGAAGTAAACAATACTTGGTGAAAAATGCAACTATCAAGAAAAATAAACGTTTAGAAAAAAGGGACACTTGACCAAATGTTCCTTTGTTTGTTAACTTAATAAAAATACTACCCATTCATCAGTTTTAGCTATGCTGACACAAAACATTTTATACAAAAGGCTACAATTCTTATAATTATTAATTTCTGAAAAATATTGCCATCATAATAGACTTACAGTGTCAACAATTTTTCTTTAAATTCCTTCAGTTACTGCAGTTTTGGGCAAATTTTAGTACAATTGATAAGTAAAATACATGATAAACCTTGTCAATTTAATCATGTTAATAATATCTTTTTTTAACTTTGAAAAGTGTTATTAAAAAGTGTTCCATTGTTTTATGTTGCAGTTGTTAAGTTTAAAAATTTTAAAACCAATCATTGTTTAATGAAGATTAGGAAGTTTAACACGAATTTGTGACGGTGTTTTGGGCTACATTTTGTCTTCGCGTAGCTTCCTCCATTTTCAAATGTGGAGAACCCTGAATATCGACTATATTTTGTATTTGAAAATGTAGTCACAATCGGGATGGCGATTATTTTTAGTACATTATTTATATCGGATAATTGTAATTATGGTCAATTACTACATATAGAGGACGATTATATTGTATATTTAGACTAGTCACGAGATGCGGTAGTCATGTGATTTTAGCACATTTACTTGCAGTATTGATGTGACATATAAATATCACTACTACAAATGCATAACCAAGTTAAAATTCCAAGTTTAGTTTATAAATATTTTCAACACGAATTGCAGTTTCTAAAAAGTGCTGCGATCCTATCTAAATTCTGCAATTTCATTGTTAAAATTATATTTGTATGATCGACCGAATGCTATGTTTTTTGCTTGACAACGGCATTGAATATTGATATAATTAAATTGTTTTTAAGATTTCATCAGGATCGCAGCACTTTTCAGATACCTTAATAGTTCTAGAGTTGAATTGTAAAAGCTCATTACGATCGATAGAGTGTATGCCCTTGCACTAGATCGATTTATTAAGACCCTCGCATTACCCTCCGATGTGTTTTCATACAAATATACGGCAGTGTCAATTAAATTCGTAATGAACAGAAAATATATTAATAAAATAGTGAAGAAGACAAAGTTACTGGCCCATTGAATATCTGTAAATAATATTTTATTTAATCAGAGAATACATTTTTATTGAGAAAATATTACTTAATCTGTCTCTCACTGCATACAAACTACGTCACGTTTTAAGGAATGACGTCACATTGACAAGTGTATTGCGATCAGTGACTTGTTTATAACTTGTTATATGGGATTTAACTAACGACAAAACAGTACGCTGTAGTAAGTTTTTTATGCAGTTTGGTGATTACTTACTGATTAAATTAGCAAATCAACTCATTTTGTGGTATTTTAAAGAAGTGTTGTATGACGTATATTTTGTATAATGTCATTGTGAAGTTTTCCCGTACAAATTAGGCTCCGCCTCCATTTTCTAACCTTAACTGTGCTGCGTACTGTAGAATCATCTTGATGGGTTAATGTCCGTGGCTAATCAAATTATACTGGTTCGTGGGGAAGTAATTTGAAGTACTTTGCAAATCTATTTAGATAAATAATACTGTGTTTTCTGTATGTGTGTTTCAATGTTCGTTGGGATTAAATCTTCTGGGAAAAGATTACCAAAATATTCCATGAGCATAATTCCACGGTGAACAATGTTGATATAAAAATTAAAAAAATATATCTTTGAATAACAAAGTGTTCAGCAGTTTGAATTCAATAAGACAGAAGTATAAATTTGAGCATTGTAAAATTGTCATTTTTTAAACGCTACAACTTATCATTGATCAAATAACTATGAATAATATTTGATTGTATTTTTCTTTTACAGTATATTAACAGTGTCTTTTTCAACATATACAATGTGCTCACCAACTCCTGTCAAGTTTATGAAGAGTATTTCTCTTATAATGGATGTTGGCACCCAAGCACTTACTTGTAGATTAAAACGAGAAGTTCAATTATCAGGCTCTAGTAGTTTTGATAACTTTCTCAATGTTAACAAACACAGATTGTTTCATCTTTATGAAAAGAAGAACTGTTGTCAATGCACTGGTCAATCGCCAAGAACTAAAGCTTTGACAAGTCGTCAATGGAGTATGCTTTTTGTTGAAAAATCAAAATCTTGCAAAACGAGAAAACCGTGTTTGTGTCAAATTGAACCACAAGAGAATATATCTGAAAATGACTTGGATCTGTCCTTGCTATGTAGTATTCTTTTGAATGTATGTTCTTTGGATGCTGCAGAGGCACAGGATATAAAGAATTTGAAAGAAAAAAGAAATTATTGTTTCCATTCTCCAAATACTAACATGGATGATACAACATTCGAAGAGGTATCATCATCGATAAAAAATTCAATTGAATCTATTGCAAATCGATGCGGAGATGAAGTACATTCGAAAGTGAAGGGAGAAATAGAAAAACTGATGAAAAGCCAAATGAATGACAATATGGGCCGACATGTTTTATCATCTCTCCATAATCTTGAGGAAAACTTTGAGGACATTTCACAAGATATGAAAGACATCAAATCACATTTGGGAATTCGAGAAAAACTCAATGTATCTCACGAGGTATTGTTTTATAGTTTTGGCCAAACAGATATATACACAGAAAACGTCAGTAAAGCTTTAGGCCTTTCATTCTATCTTCAGAAGCTTAACAAAATAAACAATTGTAGTAACATAGTAACATTACACAAATAAAATGCCAAAGAATTCTCAAAACATAGTGAATTTAGCGCCGGTATTTCTTCGAACTTCATATTTAAAATTAATTGTACCCATAAATACAGTGGTTGGCCAATTTCGGATTTGAGAAGTTTCGAATAATAATAAATTTAGGAGCCGATCAGTATTTAAAATCAAAAGTAAACACATAAATTGAGATTTATGGTATGACTTTAAGACTCTTATCAGAACTCATTTCCGCTTCCCATTTTATATCACCGAATAAAATTTAATGATTCTTTCACACATTTTTCATTACATAATGCAATTGTACACATTTTTTTAAATCTTTTAATCTGAAACTAAATTCGGGTCTCCTAGAGAAAAGCATGAATGGCCATTGCAAGCATATGAGAAGCGGGGATATCATTAAATGAGCTCAGTGCTCACAGAATCTCTTGTTTCTCCTTAGTTTTTGGATATACCACTAATATACCGGTTAGCAATTATTTTAACTTTTCCTTAGTATGCCAATCAATAATAATTTAGACAGATATTTTTTATTCAATGTCGAATTGCATGGGAACTGCTAGGGTATTATTAACTCGTCGGCTTATTCTTAACTTGTAAAATGAGTATCGATGTTACTTTAAAAGTGTTTGAAAGGCTGAATTTTAAAAAATACTGTATTTAATTCCATGATCATGAGCCATTGAACTACCTTGACAAACAGCATTTGTAATAATTCTTCATATATTTATAGCACCGCCAAAAACGGAATTGGTCAAACAACTGTAGGTAAAAATGTAAAATTAGATTGAAAAGTAATATTCTGTGAGCTTACAAAGAAATGAAAATACTTATTTCTTTATTTTAGAATATATACGAAGAACCTCCTCGAAGAAATGCAACAAAAACAAGTTTGTCCTTATATGGTAATTTATGAATTTAAAAAGTCCTATTCTTCATTTAGTAGAGAACAAAAGCATATCTTATATCGTTTATTATCTAACATTTTCATATATATAAATTTTAGGACCTGAGTCATATGGTAGAAGAAATATGATACTGCATAGAAATGAAAACCGTTATCAGATGGATCAAGAAATTCAACTATTTTCATTAGGTACACCGTTTGTTACTCTAATAAGCCTTAGATGCAAATCACTAGTGCTCACATTGAGCAGGCCTATGGTATGGTTGAGTTACTATTGTTTAGTATATTCATTTCGAAACATTCTTTCAATTAAAAAAAATCAAATCTATCTAATCATGCTTAGACGCAATTGATGAATATTAATCAATATTAATGTGGGTTTTTTCTCTTTTAGTATAAAATTAAAATATTCATGTTGACATTTTTCAATAGTTATACAATTAGAAGAATCATCTTCAAACATGGCCGATCGACCATATCTTATAATGCTTTTAATAGTCAAATGTTGACTGACGTTTTTCATACTAATTGTTAGTCCATTATTTATACACTGAATTGAGGACGGATTTTTCCGTTATTTCCCGATCATGACAAGGAGCACAAGGCGGGGTGTTACCGATCAGCAGGGGATGCTCACTCCTCCATGGCACCTGATCCCATCTCTGATATTTTATAGGTCCGTGTTTGTTTTGTCCTCTTCTGTATTTCTTTGTGGACTTTGATATTAAATGCATGTTCGTTATCTCCATACCCTTTATATTAGAGAGCAATTATAAGATATCACATTTATAAGATATGATTTTGTAGGGGAAATGATAGGTGTCAGGCAGAAAATGTTTAATTTCACTTAAATCCCATTACGGGGCTCGGAAACTTCATACCAACACTGATGCTGCCTGGAAAAAGATTCTTTACCGCTTTATGACCCCGAGTTTTAAGCATACGCCAACTACCGGCAAGTGAAAGAATGTTAAACAACAAAATATCTATGGAAAGTTTTGCTTTTTTTCATAAGCTAAAACAACCACAACTCTATATATCGTATATAATTATGTATTATAAATACATTAGTTAGTTTTTTTTTTTTTTTTGATAACTTTACAAAGTTGCCTTGTATGTCGTCAAATTTTTTAACGTAGATTGAATTCTAATCCAGGTTTGATTCGCTGCATTTCTGTCCTTTTGGTAACACATGATAATTGCCAAGGATTTAATGTTTCTTTATTTTCTTTTCTAAAGTAAGGTTACGTATTCTTTCTTTGAAAATTATATCTCGTATGTTGAATGAAATATTTTTCGTAAGATCGGTGGTAAAAGTATATTCTTTAATTATGTATAAAACTGAGGGGTTTCTCAAAATCTTCTTTATCAAGAAGGATAAAATAACCGAAACTTTACTGAAGATTTCACTCGCTAGTTATGTCTTTTATTGCCATTTGTAGTATACTGAACAGGAAAAGCAAATGTATTTAAAATTTTTCTTGTTTTTTTTTAATCTTGCAGAGACGACACCCCCTGAAATTAGCAGGTATGAAAAAATAGTAGCAGACATCCATGAAGCACGTTACACAGATTGTAATTTTCAATACTACATGGACAAAATTTTTGAAACAAGTAATTTTCTTCGTCAAACAAATAGGGAAGGATTTTTTGACATTGATTTGGCTGTTGAAAATGAAAATTTGAAAATAATTCATGTTTTATCCATATACTGGCGTTATTCCAAGCGCCTCCCTCCTGAGATATGCATATTTTTATGCGCATGTAAAAAGGGGTTTATTCATATAATGGAGTATATTTTGAAAAAGAATGGAGATATCCTGCATAAAACTGATCTTAGGGGATGGAACGCAGCACATTATGCTGCTCAAGGGGGACATATAAAACTGTTAGAGCTCCTTCTAGATAAAGGAGTTCGGTTTGATCAGACCACAAATGAAAAAGAGAGCATTCTCCACATTGCTTCTCTTAATGCAAAATTTGAAATGTGTCAATTTATTATAACTAAATTTCCACAAATGCGGCAGGAATGTGATAAAAATGGTCAGAACGCGATCCATTTGGCTGCACTGGGAGGAAATATTAAGATTTTACAATTTCTGGTCGATAAAGGAGTGGAAATTTATCAGTCTAACAATAAAAACTCTACTGTTCTTCATGCAGCATGTCGTAATGCCCATTATGATATGTCCAAATACATTCTGTGTAAGTATCCAGAAATGCTGAATTTATATAATACAGACGGATGGAATGCTGCACATTTTGCTGCAAGAGGGGGGGAAGTTAAGATTTTACAAATGCTGATAAATGAAGGTGAAGAAATCAAATTAACATATGCTGAAAGAAATATTCTGCATATTGCATGTCAATATGCCCATTTCGATATGTGTAATTATATTCTATCTAAGTTCCCGAAAATGTTAGAATGCAAATGTGAGGATGGATGGATAGCAATTCATTTTGCTGCTAAAGGAGGGAATCGTAAAATTTTACAGATGTTATTAGAAAAGGGAGCTTTGGAAAAAGAAATTACCTCTGCTAAAAAGAGTATACTACATATCGCATGTGTCAGTTCCCACTACGATATATGTGAATACATTGTAACAAACTATCCTGATATACTGCATTGGGATGATGCTTCGGGAAGGAATGCTGTGCATTTTGCTGCGCAGGGAGGAAACATCAATATTCTAAATCTCCTTTTAAAAAATAATGCTAATGCAAAGACCATTACTAATACGAAGAAAAACATACTTCATATCGCATGTGAGAATGAGAAATATGATATGTGCAAAAAGATTTTATATCATTTTCCTGACATGCTGGGAAAGGTTGATGAGGTAGGCAGGAATGCTGCACATTGTGCTGCATGTGGAAATAATGTAAATCTTCTACAGCTACTGATAGAAAAAGGAGTAAAAGCAGATCAAACTATTGACGGTGAAATAAATATACTCCAGTTAGCATGCAGCTATGGGAAATATGAAATGTGTCAATATATTTTATCAAAATATCCAGAAATGTTGAAATCGTGTGATGCAAAAGGCTGGAATCCTGCACATTATGCGGCACTAGGAGGACATGTTCACATTTTAATGCTTCTTGTTGAAAAAGGAATTAATGCAAACCACAAACTCAAAGGTGGAATGACTATCCTCCATATAGCATGTGCAAATGCCCGATATGAAATGTGTCAATATATTTTGTCAGAGATTCCGAACATGATCAGTGAAGTAGATATAAGAGGAAGGAATGCAGCACATTATGCTATACTACAAGACAATCTGGGTATTTTAAAACTGCTTATAGAAAAAGAGTTACCAAACACGAATTATCAAGATAACATACTTAATAGTGTTTGTGCTTATGCAAGATTTGATATGTGTGAGTACATATTATCAAAGTATCCCAATACCATAAATCTGGTGAACAAAAAAGGATGGAATGCTGCTCATTCGGCAGCTCGTGGTGGAAATGTCAAAATTTTACAGTTGCTTTTAGAAAAAGGAATCAAAGCAAATGAAACCACGTGTGATGAGGAAAACATACTCGACATAGCTTGTGCAAACGCCCAATATGATATTTGCAAATACATTCTATCTGCATCGAAAACCACTTTTTATTTTGATGACGAAGATTTAAAGCATTCC